ATCGGGCCGGTGTCCCTTGTGGCGTCTCCTGCCTGTTAGCCTGTGTGCACTGGGGGAGAGGAGACCGACCTGTTTGAGGACGTCAGCTTCTCCTCGGCATCAGTAATTTGGCCGAGCTGTTTGGCAGCTCCTAGGCAGAACGCGGCGCGCACGCGCGCTGCCTGGGTCGTCGGGGGGCTGTGCTCCTCCTCGCCCGTATTCCCCTTTCCTCCCAGCGCCAATCTCGCTACTTTTGACGCGGGTTCGTTTGAGTGTTCATAGCACAACTTAATGCAGACCAACGGCTGTACCTCCTGCTCGGGGTCACAGTCAGTCGGTCGCAAGTTCAGGATTTCAGTTGGTCCGGTGGTTCTGGTTCCAGCCTCTGTGACGGGGTGATGGGAGGCGAAAACCTCTCGCTTAATTGCTCGGGATGGCGATGCTTTGGGAGCAGGGACGCTCATTCGGTAGAGGGTGCGATCAGCCTGACCCTGCCGTGCGAGCAGAAGTCGCCCATCTTGCCGTGTCCCCCCGATTTTGCTTCTGCCCGCAGCGGGATGGGTTTAAAAAAGCCAAACAAAGAACCCCCCAGCAGAAAAGGTGGATCTTCTGCCTTGGTTCTCCTGGCTGGGATCGAGGATCTCCGCTCTTTGCAGGGGAAATGGCATCATTGGTTTACATTCTTTACCCCACAGCTCCCTGTTCACTGTGCTGTGGGTTTTCTTTAACCCCCCCCCGAAATTTTAAACATCTCTGCAGTCAGTAGTTAGCGCACAGCAAACCCGCTCTGACCTTCAGATGAGCGACGCTGGGTATCTGAGCTTTAAAAACGTGTGACGGCTTTGGTGTTTGGCAAAGAAGTATTGGGGAGCCTGAACCTGGGGGTTTCTTTGTTTGCTTTCCTTTCTGTTCTGGAACGGGAGCGTGGGTGCGGGGACTGTTCTCACTCCCGCTTATTACGGCAGCTTCAACTTGTATTCTCCGTGGGGATAGAAGTTGAATCTGGAATCTTTCTGCCTCTGCATGCGTGGTGGTCAGGTGAGGGGCCATGGTCGTCTCCCAGCAGAAGATGAACGCTGACCAAATACCTTCGAACATTAACCTTGTGTTTTTGTTTGCAGCGGGACCTCTCCTCTTGCATGCCTGAATGCTATGTTACATACAAACTCCCGAGGGGAAGAGGGCATTTTCTATAAGGTCCCGGGGCGCATGGGAGTGTACACGCTGAAGGTAAGTGGCTCGGCTGGGGAATCTGGTTTGAATGCTCAGGTGACTTTTATCCATTTAAAAATATGTTGGATTAGGATAATCCTGACGAGGGAACTATTCCCCAGTAGCATGAATGTGGCATAAACTTTCCCCCCCAAATGCAAACTCTTAAGTTGGCCAACCCTACCCTGGGCTGCATCAGGAGAAGCGTGGCCAGCGTCGAGGGAGGGGATTGTGCCCCTCTGCTCTGCTCTGGGGAGACCTCCCCTGGAGCCCTGCGTCCAGCTCGGGAGCCCTCAGCAC